GGCAATCCCTGCTTCCCTGTCTTTAGTTTCTCCCCAGGAGCTGCTTGCATGCAGTCCTATGGGCAAGAAGCCATGCGCCAGATGCTAAGCCTGCCCTGTCGATTGCCCTGTACTGGCAAGGAGTGGCAATGCTTCCGCACGGGGCACGCCGTGGCGTCCGTGCGCCGACTGGGGCCCTCGGTCCAACAGTCGTATTTTGCTCGTCAGATCAGCAAAGCGAGCAGGCCCAGTGTTAAGGCGATTCAAACTTGGGGGTGGCACTGCCGTTCTTCTGACCCCGTTCCAGGAGACTCTCTCTACTCACTTCTTCCTCTCCTCCAGGTCCGCGGTGATAGCCTGGTGCAGCATCGCAAATTCCTCTTCGTGCTGGATGATGGCTTTCACGTTCACCTGGACGCTGGAAATCTTAATGGTGGGGCCCCTCCGCTTCCCTGGGCCTTTGCCTGAAAAGGAGCGCACACACACACACACACACACCCAACCACGTTACACCTACAAATGATCAGAAAGGGACGCATGGACTTTCCTGACTCTGCACAGCCACCGGTGTCGACAGCGATCCTGCTTCCCACAGGCGGACTGGGATAGAGTTTTCCCTTGGATGGCCGTGGCCTGGCGTCCTCCCGTCACTTCCGGGTGACGCACACGCCGGGGTGGAGTTCCCCCCGGGATCCCTAGTTACATCTCCTGCGGCAGCCATTTTGTCTCTGGTTCTGCCTCCTGCAGCAGCCATTTTGTGGCTGTGCCCAGTATGCTGTGTCCAAAGGTGCCCACAGGCTCAAAAAGGATGGGGACCCCTGGTCTACACCATGCCAGATGCAGCATCCCAGAGGTGAGTGAGACCCATTATGGCCCTGCTCCAAACCCCACCAGAGGGCTACGGAAGCCTGAGAGGCAGTCGCCGCCGGGCCTTTACCTTCCGTCGGGTTCTCCTTCATCTGTTCCTCGTACTCTTGCATGGCCGAAACGCAGCTGTTGTGAAGGAGGTCTCCCAAGCGCTTCAAATCGGCCACCGACTTGTCCACCAGCTCTGCATCTCGAGCGATGAACTCCAGTCTGAGGAGATTTGGGGGGGGGGGATGTCACAAAATGGATCCTTAACTCCCCCAGAAAGGGCACCGGTTAAGACACCGAGACTGCCTCAAAGGAAATAATGACACTTCTAACTCTACGTCATTGTTTCTTTTGTAGATTTATGTCTGTGGAAACTGTCCTCTTGGCTCAAAAGAAACTTTAGCAGCAGAGGACTTCGGCAACTAGAAACGTCTCTGCCTATGTATAAACTTCAGCCACGAGGAAATCTACCGAGGGATTCCCAGCCTCCCAACAGGAATTCTCTCCAAAAGATACGCTAATGTGTAATTTTTGCTTTGCCCCCTCATCCTGCCCCCTGACACTTTCATCCCCATAAACATCCAACTGTTGAGAAAACTCCAGAAAACAAACAGAGGCCCCGGTCACACAGAGCATTTGCCCCGCTGAAGGCGCAGTAAAGGTAAAGGTTCCCTTGCTTGAAAGCCAGTCAAGTCCAACTCTAGGGTTGCGGTGCTCATCTCCGTTTCAAAGCCGAAGAGCCAGCGCTGTCCGAAGACGTTTCCGTGGTCATGTGGCCGGCATGACTAAACGCCGAGGCGCACGGAATGCTGTGACCTTCCCACCGAAGTGGTACCTATTGATCTACTTGCAATTTCTTGCTTTCGAACTGCTAGGTTGGCAGGAGCTGGAACTAGAGACGGGAGCTCACTCCGTCATGCGGCACACTCGGGTCTTGAACTGCTGAATGACTGACCTTCCACAGCCTGCAGTTCAGCGTCTTAACCACTTGAGCCACTGCAGCTCCGAAGGCACAGTACTCCGGCGGATTTTCTGGGCGTGATCTCACCAGAACATCTGGGAGGCGTCGCACTCC